GCCACTGACTTTCGGACAAGAAGAGATTGAAAACTTTGACCTGGGAGTAAGGAGACCTGGGCCGCTCCTCAGCTTCACCCCCAACTTGTTTCACCTCAGAATTCCCCTTCCCTTGTCCTGGCCTCAGTTTTCTATTTAGAAGCTGGGAGGTGCTGGCCACATGGACTGCAGTGACGGCGAGGGGATCCCGGCTGAGAGAGAGCCACCTCGAGGTGGGTGTAAGGCACGTGCTGGGGTCCCACTCACCGTCCACGGGGGTGCAGGGCTCGTACACCAGCCGGTAGCCCTCCAGGACGCCGTTGGGGAACTGCGGGGCCTCCCAGGACACGTTCACTGAGGTGGTGGTCAGCTCGCTGAACTTGACCGAGCTGGGAGCACTGGGGGCTGTGGGGGAGACAGCACAGGGTTTTTTCCCTCCTCCCCCCGACTTTCAAAGCCCCATTCCGCTCCCAGGAGCCAGCAGGGGTGGGGGCCCGGGGGGCAGAAGAGAGCAGTGCTCTGACAGGATGGGTCTGGAGGGGTCGCCAGGGGTCACGGGACCCCCCTCCTCTCCCTGCATCTCAACACTCGCTTTCCAACCTCAGAGTCCAAGAATTCTTTGCCTAAAGTTAGAGAACTCGGATTCCTCCTGCTAAGGGGCCCCTAACCTGGCTCAGAGCCCAGGCCTAGCCTGGGTCCTGCCCCAGGGTCTCTGCGGGGCTAGGCCATGTCCTGGTTTTGTGGGGGCATCTCTCAGCTTCCCGGGGAGAGGGCAGGGGGTGCCTGGGCCTCAGAGCATCAGGCGGGCACTGAACCAGACAGCAGAGCCGCCGTTTCTCTTGTCCCCAGGGCCAGGGCTCGATGCCCAGAGACCGCGCTGTCACAGCCAGAGCCAGGGACAGCCAAGCCCCTGGGAAGAGCCGCCTTTCTGGCCTGAGGGCCCAGGAGCAACCAAACACCACGGGGGCGGGTGCTCCGGGGGCGGACGTGGAGGACGGGAAGGAAGCCTCCATGGGTAGCATCCCGCGCTGGCTCCAGCGGGATGGTCCGGCTATTATTGTCAGGGCCACCCCCACGGAGCCGGAGCTGACCCCGACCCCGCTTCCGCCCGGCTCCGTCCAGCCCGGGACAGGCCGCGCCAGCGAGCAGCCTTTGAAGGAGGCAGGCGAGCTCAGGGGCCCTTCCGGCCTCCGCTCGGCTGGGGGGACGCGGGACAGAACACGGCGTCCTGCTGTGTCTGTGACACGGCTTCCAGGCTCCCGGGGGCTCACGCCCGGCTGACGACACCGACAGAGAATGGTCAGGACAGGCGGGCGGACAGACACACAAATTCTCAGAGCCGGAGGAGAGACGGGGTTTTCCTAGAGCCAGGCTCGTCCCCAAAGAAGAAGAAAGGCCACTTACAGAACAGGAGGCAGGTCGGGAAAGACACTCAGGGAGGTCAGGACGAAAGGGGGGTGCAAACCCGTGAGGACATAAGTCCGTGCCAGGCCAAGGAGGGGGCCTGGCGACGGCTCGGAACCAGCTCAGATACCTGTCTCCAGCCTCTAATGCCCCTCATCCGGCGGGGGACCCTGGGAGGCATCCCATCCAGGCCACCCTTGTTCACCATGGGTAGGGGCACCCCTGCCCTGCCCATCCCCAGGGCTTCCGAAGGCTCAGGTGCAATCTGCCTGAGAAGTGACTGTGGACAGTGCGCAGAGGGCAGATCCGCCCCTGTGGCAGCAGGACCCCTACCTCGTCCTCCCCCCGGCCTCCCTGCCTCTATCCTCTCCCCACAGCAGTCTGTCTTTTAAACAGCGGTCAGAGCCATCTTTCAAAAACACTATCTATCCCGGCCTGCATGGCTCAGTGGTTGAGCGTCAACCTACGAACCAGGAAGTCACGGTTCGATTCCCAGTCAGGGCACCTGCCCAGGTTGCAACTCGATCCCCAGTGTGGGGTGTGCAGGAGGCAGCAGATCAATGATTCTCTCATCATTGATGTTTTTCTCTCTCTCCCTCTTCCTTCCTCTCTGAAATCAATACAGATATACAAAAATAATAATAATAATAAAAACACAAACCAGATCCTCTTGCCCAGCCGCTTAAACCTGCCAGCGGCTTTCGTCACACTCAGATCATCCCGACTTCCTTCCCCGGCCGCCGGACCCTCCAGAACAGGGCCCCGTGTTCTCGCCAGCCACCTGGCTTCCTCTCGGTCCCTCTGATCCCCTCCAGCCTCCAGACCTCGGCACCGCTATCCCCTCCGGCCGGAACCCCCTCCTCCGGCACCTCCCCCGGCCTCTTCTCCCTCCTGTCAGCTCAGATGTCACCCCTCAGGGACGCCTCTGCAGGCAAACCTGCCCATGGCCACCTGTCTGTCCCCTGCCTCTGTCCTCCGTCCCCGCACAGCCACCAGAGGTTAATGCACCTCTGTGCGGTGTGTGATCTGTCTCCGTCCTCGGGGTGGGGGAGGGGGGTGTAGGTGGGAACAGGCAGGGAGAAGTGGGCTGGCTGGGCCTGGACTGGCCATGGGCAAGGCGGGCTACAGGGCAGGGCGGGGCGGGGGCTGGGCGGGCTGGGGGCTCTCCCCAAAGCTGTTTGGAGAAAACTTCTCTTCTGAGCATCCCATGTTGGCCACTTTGGGGGCCGTGGAGGGCATCACAGGGGCCTGGGTACCCAGCCCAGATGTCTCAGGGGGTGGCAACACATGGCTGCCTCCAATCCCATAAGCCCAGGGGCCAGGGCCAGAAGGTCCCTCCTCCACCCCCCAGGGCGACTCCTCCTCCCCCTCAGCAGTCTCCCCACCTGCTTGCTGGGTCTGGCCCCGGGTGGGGGTGCTCCGAGGCCCTTCCCCCGCGGCGTTGAAGGCCGCCACGCTGACCATGTAGGTGGTGTAGCCGGTCAGGTTCTTGA